CTTAACCTGTTTTCATAGGTGTGAAATCTCAGGGCATTTTAAATCCTTTTTAATATTATAAAAAACTTACTGATCTTATTTATAACAACATATTTTATGTATACTCTTTAGCAACATTAAACAGAGTAAGAGAGTTAATGATTGAGAAAAACTAGATGAGATCCAGTGTGATCCAGTCACTATCTCCTTCTTGAAACACTGCGTACCTATTGACTTTGATTCACTTACACTGGTATCCTGAATCAGGAAGGGAAAATTTCTGCTTTCTGTAGACTGAAGGAGAACGTCAAATCAACGGATGGTGTATCTACAGCAAGGCTGCATATAGGCTATGGGAAAGAGGAGTCTCTAAACTTAGATTAACCAATTTGTTGTACCTCTAAGTGGAGCCAGTATCTGATGTGGCACATTAAGGTAAGATGTTTGCCACAACAGGGAAAGGTACCACCCAGCACGCCTTTAACTGAAGTGCTCTGAATGACAATGCTATCGCAGTAGAGGTAAGATTATGAGAGTGCAACCAAGGGAAGGCTTTGGACCTAAACTGTTGAGTGCTCCAGAGGTGAATAGAAGATCCTTCAGCTCTGGAACACTCTGTTACCACAGCAAAAATATAAACCATTTAAAGCAGCCTCTGGATATTTTCTAAATTATATTGAATTGCTAAAAAGCCTTTCCCTAAGCCTCCCGCAGCACTGAGCAGATTGATTTGGCTACATTTTCCTTACATTAAAGAAAAGTACTCTTCATGTCATGGCGTGGGTGAATGTTTTCCCCTGTGTCTTAATAGATCATTCAGCTCCATCAGAAATCCTTTCTTTTTCTGTTTGTGACTTTGGTCTATCTTAAGCTGGGTGGGAGTGGGAGAATACAGGGACAGCTCTGGGCTCAAATCCTCAGGGTTCAAAACATGTGAGAAAGCATTTCTGCAGCTGTCATTTTCACAAGACATTTATCAGACACGTGGCTGAAATCATGCAACAAGAAATAGCTCCTTCTCTACCAAGCAAGGAGAAATAGTGGTATTGACAGCAAAATTTAGTGTTCAGCATCTGATTAATTGATGGCAATAATCCTGACTTTCTTAAAGATGCACAGACAGCTCTACCCTTTTGCAGCAACACAATTCCTTATTCATCCTTGACAGAGGAGGATTCCAGACCCATTGGCTTTCTAGTTTTCATCTGATCTCTCATTGACTGAAAAAGTGTCTGACCATACTCCCTTCCTATTCACTGGCCAGTTTCCAAAATAGAGTGTATTACCCTCTCTGTCTGTATTCAGCAACTGTATCCCTGGGGTTATACAGAGGAGGAAAAATTTGGCTGTAGACGGTAGCAAAATTGTGATTTTATTCTACATAAGACTTTGAAGAAAACCCTAACTTTACTGCACAATTATATTCCATAGGCCTTCTGTTTCTGTGACAGTAAGCTAATGAAACACATTCAGTATTGCTAATGCTTAACTAATACACCTGCACTCAATCCGGAGTATTTATAATTTATACTCTGTGCTCTTACCACATCCTGCAGCAGACTGCTCCTACTTTTGTTAATGGGTTCCTTGTTTGTCTCAACGCCCTGCTTTGACTAACACAACCTCATTAAGTCGATTACAGTGGAAGGATTTTTGCTGTTGTGAAAGTAGTTTGCATGAAAACAGAATAAGCCACGCTGTCTCTACATGCAGGTTTAATGTTAATACACTAGAGAACCTCAGATTACTCTTTATGCATTGTTATGACTGCTCAGTGTAGCCCTTATATACAAATTTTTCTCCCTGTTCTCTCCTATATAGGTCTCTCTGGCCTGTCACACCTTAAACGAACTCATTGCTAAGGATCTGTCTACTTAGAATCTTTCTTCCTTTGCTCTCTGTCTGCTTGTCTGTCCATTCTTCCTTCAGCTGTAAGTTATTTAGAACAGAGACCATCCTTTTGAAATGGTTTAGGATATTCTAAAGCCCACTCCCTGGTAAGCAGACATAATTAGCAATGTTACCTTTTTTTTTTTGCCGGGCACACCAAATTTTTTCATATGCTTGTTAAGTACTTTAATAATGAAGCACTTTAGAAGTTCTTTTCAAATGCAAATTGTTTAAAAGTGAAGCTTTTTAAATTTTTAATTTATTATTTATTTTCCAACTGTCTTGAACTGCCATGTGACGTTCTTCTCTGTGATACAATAAATCACAGTTTGTTCAAAGCCAGGAGTGCTTGGGGAAACTCCAAGGCAGAGAGAACAAATACTATGCTGGCACAAAAATTTTAGGTAAATGAGCAACAGTCCCATTCCTACATCATGCAAATACTAACTGTCCCACCTATAGTCACTCTATTAGGAATATAACCATTGAATTTAGGAAACATCAAGTCCATTTACTTGGTCTAGTGGGAGGTGTCCCTGCCTATGGCAGGGGGGTAGGAACAAGATTATCTTCAAGGTCCCTTCCAACCTAAACCATTCTATGATGGTTCCAGTCTACTGGATGTGCAGATGTTTCCATTATTTAGCAAAAATAAGCCTACTGTTATCGCTCTTTCTTTTTTCCAGTGCCTTATGTAACTGAGTAGTAGTATACAGTTTCCTAAGAGACCTGAGGCTCCTGGTTGAAATCCACTGATTTAATGCATGCACATACACACAAACTCTCACAAACAATTTAATATACTCTGCATTACTGTAAGAATTTGAAAATTAATAATAATAATCATCACCATCATCATCCTCCTCCTCAGCTTCTTTTTCCTTTTGAAAACTGTGATTTAGGCTGGACCACAAGCTTCAGAGGCACACAAGTTTAAAATAAACGAAAACAAAGAATAAGAACTCCTGTGGACCAAGGAAAGTGTTCTATTGAGATCACCTCAGCAGAGAAAATTGTATTGAAGCAGAATATAAATATTAATAATAAGAAAACCTTTTGTCTTGAATGAAGACAATGATGTTACACTTAAGAGGGGTTTGAATCCATTCTATGCCTGAGTGAGGGAGTAGTTGTAGGTTAGATGGATTTTACCCTATCCCTTTCTTTCTCTTTCTCTTTTTTGAAGCCAAAATGGGGTGGTACAAATGAAGTTATTCCTTCAGAGTTTGTGCTGTGCAATATATGCCAGCAAGCCCTAGGCAAAGGACAAATTATACCTTTTTTTCTCACAGATAATAGGTATGCTGTGCACAAAACATAGTTCATTCTGTGATAAGGCCATGACTTCTTGAGATCTCTTCTGAATAATGGTAGAATGCTTTGTGAAGGGACAGGATAATTACTTTTAACATTTAAGAGAAGGCATACAAAGGAGTTATTATATAATTTCCCACAGATATCAATGGGACTGCTCTCTAATGAAGACTGGCTGAATTGGAACAATAATGGAAACAAACCATACAATATTTCCTTACATGAAAAATCAGAGCTTCCCATTTCACACTGCTCTGTTCTTTTGGACAAGAAGCTGGCACTGAAATACTTAATGGAAAGGAGGTATACTTAAATTCTTTTAGATTTCTCTTGTGGCCCTTTCTCCTTTCTTTTCACAAAACAAACAGAATGACCCTTAACACAAAACTTTTGATAGACAGACTACAATTCAGTGCATGATTAAACTGGCTTTTTCTGCTTCAACTTTTGGATGTCTAACCCTCAGTACCTCAAAAAGGCTTAAATTTAAGCACCCAGCATATGCTAATGTGTTCAGGATCTCTATGCATTCTTACAGCAGAAGTCTGTATGTTAAAACCCTGAATCACAGCCAATATAAACTGACATAACTCCAAAGACTTCAATAGATTTCTGGCTCTGGCAAAGAATGAAATGAGAATTCACAATCATGCAATATGAACTGGAAGAATTCTTATCTATCTCACTCAAGCAACCGAGGATCCAGTGCAAAATTTCCTCTTTCAAAATTGTTTTGTGTGTGTACATCATGCTAGAGAGTAAAGCCTTCTGATACTGAAATGCAGATCCATTAAGCTCTGAGAAGTGAGAAAAAGTTATGCAGAGATTTTTTTTAAATTGATTACAGAGTTCAGATAGTGAACTGCTTTAACTGATCATCTTATGTTTGATTACCAGGCATTAAAAAATATTTTCTGTTCTTCTTTGACTAGACCATCAGTTAGTATGGTGTTGATGAATATTGATCCAAAGTTCATTAAGTGAATGGGTTTTTAGACTGGGCTTTAAAAATTATGGCAAGTTGCAAAGATAATTATAAAAACAACGAGAACAGCATTGTATTTGTTCTACAGAACCATCTGATACCTAAAAACAATGCAGCCTTTTATTTACTAAAACTCTGCATGTAAAACCAATCTTAATTTGCACTGATCAAGCTAAATTCTAGTTGGAGATATAGTTCTTCCCAGTGTTCTTATACCATTACCAGCCAAATATTAACTTGTGCCTAACATCCATAATCTTAAAATAAAGGCAATACAGATAATTATTCACTATAAAAAAGATCTCTTTAAGGGCTTTGTTTTCACAATATGATGTCACTAGAACATACTATGCAATTATTCATCATCAAAAGTAATCCTACAAGAAACCCCCCACAACTTATATGTGTCAACTGCATAATATGGTTAAAACCATAAAGTTTTGAGGTACCTATTTCCCACACAAGACTACAACAACAAATAAAAATACACTTCACAGCAGCAAATAGATGTCATTCTACTCCTAGTCATAAATGTACTCTCTGCCTACAGAACATTCACACTGAGAATTTATAGAACTCTGATGTAATTGCTTTTACGCTGGGACTGTTAATTTTTTTCTGGGCCTTCTCCACATATTTAATAAACAGTATTTAAAGTCAAAATTATTCTGATGAAAGCTGTTTGCAGTTGCTGAACCAAATAAATCTATGTGAATTGTGGAAGATGGATCTCTGAAAATTAATGTTTAGAACAATAGTTCCTCATTTTATAATTCCAGGCTTTCTGATTTTGAAAGAAAAGTTTTCTCATCTCAGCTTTCTGTCAACTCACCATAATTCCGTAGGCTTTATCACCATATACAGGATTATATGTTTCTTCATCCATTGTTACTGAAGGAGTTTGTATTGCCAAGAGCTAAGACGGAGAAGTGTCTTTTATGTTTGTTCAGACATCCATGAGGTCTGTGGCTCTTTACATCTCTATAAGCACAGAATGTCAATTTTCCTGTCTTACACCTGCATTTTTTTTCTGGTAAATTCAACAGTGCCATCATAGGAGAGTACAGGAGTTACTATGGGAGGCCACACTGAGACAGCATGATCTGTTTCCTGATTACTATGGGACAAACTTTTGGACAAGTTTGAACACTAGGACCAAACCCTTGAACTTGATTTAGCATTTAGTAATAATCCAGTGTAGAAAAAATAACAAATAGGTTGCTTCACCTATTTTTTTGTTGTAAAAGTTTTTTCCTCATTTTTTCATTCTAAAAATCTTTTTTCCAGCCACAGCAAGCAAAGAGAGTTCGTGGAATGGTGCACCATGACTTCCTTTCCTTCAAGAATTCATTTTGTGACTATCAGATGTGAGCTATGAAGTAACTCGTTACCCTGCCCGCACCATCAAGCCAGTGCACCCGCCCTCACTGCACAATGTTATGGACACGGGCAGAAGCTTTGCTTCTAGGAGCAGTGTGGCTGCACTTGCACAGGGTTTGTACCGCACTGAAACTCCAGGCTGGTTCCAAAACAGGCTCCATAATTAGGAGCTGTCGGTTCCTGCGCTCATTTTGCTGCATGGGACAGACCTGCTCTGCGTTACTTCTGTACTTTGGTAATTCCGCAACTCAGATATGTGCAACATACTATTTGTGTCCTAAAACCTAATGAGAGCGCTGTCAAGCCACTATCTAATTCTCATGAACTCTTAAATTATCAAAAATTCATCAGACTAGGGAAAAGTACAGTCAACCCTTCCATTCATATTATGTCTCCATGTCAGATACTTATTTTAGAATGCTAATGTATTTGTCCTGCTAAAAAGAACTATTTTAAGGATTGTTTCTGTTAATGTAATGTATGAGCCATACATTTGAATACTTTATTCTTTCATTTTATCCTTTAGAAACCTCCAATTTATCTATTTTTGTAACTGAGTGAAAATTATGTGGCTGCTTTTTACATTCATCAGGATTATTTAATAGGTATGTGCGTTCACAGTGAATCAGAGAACTGTTATCATTTCTTGTTCTTCCTCTTCATGACCAATAAATCATGTTCTTTTTTTTTTTTAATTGTCATTTATTTAAAAACCTAGTGATTTTATGTATTTAGGAAGTGGGTTGAATTTTATGCCATATAATCACCAGTAAGCCTTATGCGTTACAGAATACTTCAGAGTGTGTGTTTGCATTGACCTTTTATTTGCTGGCAGGTATTTCCAAAAGCGATACACAGGGATACTCAATCTGCTCCATGCAGCAAAGATGGAAACGAAGGCACGTTAAATGAGATGAGATGTTTATCCTCGCAAAGCAAACATAATTATCATTGATCTCACAGGATATAACTTGAAGTTAGAATTTCATTTTGTGTTCAAATACATAAACAAACCTTTCTGACTCTAAGCAGATTCGTGCTTTGGTTCCTTGCCCTGCATTCAGTATCATAAACCATGGGGTTTTTAAGGCACTTCACGCGGCCTTTTGTCTGTACAATATATTCTCCATGGGTGTTACACTGGTTCAAAGCAGACATCAAACCCAAACAAATTAAAAGGGACAAATGATTAAGCAAGGACTAAAGCAATAAGAAATAAACTCAGTAGCTGAAGGAAACGCAAGTGTTTGTTTAACTTGAAATGTGTGAGAACAACTTGGTTATTTCCCAGAGTTTTTAAAATATTTGTCATTGTATTGTATGAAGAAATCATTGGGGGTTTTGTTACTGTAGAGTCACAAGTTTTTTGAGTTTGAGTAGGAAGGAAGATACATATGTAGAGAGTTGAGGTGTGGGAAAGTAAAGTTGATAGGTACATACACATATATACCTGTACAAACAAGAAGGGGGAAAGATGCAGAATAATAATGGTCTTATTACAGTGATTGACATGGGCTATAGGCTTAAAGTGAACACAGCACATGGGATAGACGAAGTCTGAGAGGTGGATAGAGACACTTCTGTCACTCCAGTCCAGCTCCCTGACAATGATAATTTCTTGAAATGTATTTTCTGAAGTTCTGCTTCTCCAGATTTTGCATACAAAAGGCAAGAGAGTTCTACCATGAATTTGGGGATGTACCAGACCCTAATGGAAGTAATTGTATTCTACACATGTAGTTATAATAAGACATACTCAACTTAAGAGATGACTCAAATGTACAAGTCACACACTGCTTAAGTATCTTCATGAATCAGAGCTTTAATCTTTTCCAATAAATCAGTAAGTCCGAACGCCCAACTAATTTTTAGTGTGCCTTTTTTTGGCAGTCTCCAGTATGGAAATATCTCCATTAATGAGAAAGTGACATTCTGTGCCCAGTGCCACCACAATGACATGGAGAGCTATTACTCCCTGCCCTTTGGTGGGAGGGCCCTGGGCACGCAACTGAAAATTGGATTATTCCTGTCAACTGCTGTGAAACAGAGCAGGGTCTGGGCTAACCTGGAGTCAGAGGTTCTCTACCTGGGCAGAACCATCCAGGCCATCTTCTTCTCTCAGCTCCAATGTGTATGGCACGCTCACAGCAACATGCTTGTCTAGACTGGAGATTTCTTCTTCTTCTTCTTAGTTTTGTAAAGAAGGAGATTCCAGAGACTCTCAAACTCCCTTTTTCCAGAACTTAACTGTGCTTACAGAAAGATATACTTTGTACTTTCTGATTTAAAATGTTTTTGAAAATTGAGCCAATTTGTTCTTCCCTTTGCATAGTAGCCATATTGGAAAATGGGTTAAACACAGACACTGATCTTCATCTTCCTTTTTCTGGACATAAACCAGATCTTTAAGATATTGCTCCTTCAAACTTAATTTTTAATCCACTGATTCTTCTTTCTGAATTTTTGATTTTTCCAAATGATCCCCTAAACTGTGTTTCCAAACTAAACTTTATTCTAGGCAAAGCCTCACCTGAGTTTAATGAAAAAGTTGTCTTCTGTGCCTTGTAAATCTGTAAGATATCCCAGAATGAGAGTTGGGAGTTTTTTGGTTTGGAATTCAGAATAATTCACCATACTTTTTCTGCTATACTGCCAAAGAGCCTCGAGTTCCCTATTTTGTAATTATGCATTTTGTTTATCCTTCTTACAGACTTTACTCTTGTCTTTATCTATTTTTCTGTCCTTGATTTTAGACTATTTTTCCAAATTACTGAGATTATTTTGGAATCTGATCCTGTCTTCTGAAAATATTTTGATCTGTTCTTCTTTGAGTCAACTGTGTATTTTATAAGTATATTATCCTTTTTATCATCTGAATCATTAATGGAAATAGTGGCACAAACTTGGGCAGAGAAGAGACTGATTTTATTTGACTCCCTTTTTAACAGAAATTCGTTACAGTTATACCTAAGCAGAATTTTTCAACAAAGTATATGCCCATTTTATGGCAATTTTTCTAAAACCATGTTTCCTTACCCAAACCATATTTCCTAATTCTGTGAGCTGGTATCAGAAGCCTTACTAAAGTTAAGACAATACTGCATCTGTATTTATGTTTGTATTGGTCACCATGCTAAGATGAATATTTGATTTGCTTGGAGAAGTTGCTTCTCAAGCAAAGAGTTTGCTTCTTTAATTACTCCTTACTCTCTCCTACATGCCTATATATTATTATTTTTTAAACATTTAAGCCTATTTCCTGTTAATAAAGTAAATCTGAATTATCTTAATTCTTTATCCCACTCTATACTGATTTTTTTTTAAATAAAGACCCCTTTTTTTCCAGTCTCCCGGGCCCTCCTTTTCTTCCAATAACAACAACAGCAATCAAATGCTAAGTTAAAAGTTTAACTAACCCTCCCAATGATTTTCATCAGGCCCGGAACACCAGAATGCTGCTTACCATAAATTCTGTAATACACTGAAATTTTCTATTCTTTTTTCCTACTCTGATCTGCACACCTGTGCACTGTTAATATAATTGCATTAAGCATCTGGTTGCATCTGAATGTCTTTGTGTAAAAATTGAATCAGGGAGTTCACTGAGAACATAAGCTTGCATAACTCGTTACTTAGCTTCCTGTTCTATTAAGTAATGAATCTGTTTTTATTTTTTCTTCCTTTCACTTTGCAAGTATCTGCAAAGCCTTTTATAGACCTTGCTGCTTATGAATCTTTTATTATTATCAAAGCTGTAATTGTCTTCTGGATCCTAAAACAAGTTTCAGTGATTTCCTGGCTTCCTCCTGCTTCCAGAGGTCCTCTGCTTAATTATTAATACCCCCAGCTTTCTCCTTTCCTTCTCAGTAAGGCTAGCTTCAGCACAGGAAAATGTTTTGTTTCAGGCATAATTTGAAGAAGTATATGGAATTTCATATAAAATGTACAAATTGCACAAGCAGAATAAAGATCTTTCCAAAATCATTTTTGGGAGTGGGAAAAAAATAAGGGATATAGTAATGTGCATTTTTTTTGCTACTCTTTGCAAGATGATCTGGTTCAGAAAAAAAAAGTTCAGCAGTAAGGCAACGCAAACAACGTGTAATTTTAAAAGTATTTTAAAGTATATTGTCTTATTCTAGTTAATTTTTTTTTCTAATTTTTTATTATTTTTCCACACTTACAAGGATAAATGTCACCCAACTATGAAGCTCCAGTGTTGATTGTGGCATGTATTATCCTCATATGGCTTGTTTGAGATATATCCAATTTTTGAGATTTGTTTCTGCTTCTTTTGCCTGAGCTTTACAATCCAAGCTTACCAAGTACAAATAATTTTAATACACTCAATGACTGAGGGGAAAAAAATTTCTTTCCTGGCATGAGATGTGATCAATAGGATATTGTTTAACCTGACTCAGTGTTATGACTTTGAGAAGACTTCCCTGAACTTTATGAAACTTCTCAGAGTTTCTCGGAGAACAGTGGCACCAAAGTGGCATCAAA